TCCTTGCCACACAGGCTCTGCCACTTTTGAGGGTTGCCCTGGACAAAGGGCCGTCTTAATAGCATCATGGGCCCCTGGGCAAGGATATTCACTGGGGCCCCTACCAGCCTGCCCCAGTTTACACACCTACTCTCAAGAATTAAAGTATAAATAGTTGATAGAATTAAACATATACTTATTAGTACTTTTAGTAAAATCAATTGTAAACAATAAGAAAACATGCCATAAATCAGAGACTAATCAACACAAAGGGCACAGTACAGGGAGGAGGCAGAAGGGTGCAGTACGAGAGGGGGGGTCAGGAGGGCACAATACTGGGTTCAGGAGGGCACAGTACAGATTCCGGGACACTGCCCAAGACATGGCCATCCCATGGCAGCTTATTTAAAAGCATTACTGTCCAAGCAATTTGGGGACAGTTGGTAAGTATGATGTAATTGGGCTCTGTCCTCAGCAGAGGTGTTAGGAGACCTGGCACCCCTGCCAGTACCTTGCATGGCCACAGAAGTTCACATCGGCTCAAATTTGGCGCCAAACGGCCTTTATAAGGAAGCCCTGCACTACTTTCAGGTGCTCATTGATCTCTGGCTCCCTAGTACCTTCATTCCCTTGCTATCCTGACTTGTGATTTCCTGTTAACGACTCTGCTTGCTCCTGGACCTGTCTGCTCTGTTTGACCCCGGCTTGTCTAACGGATCTTCTCTCCTGTTCTCTGTGTATGACCTCGGCTATCCCTTGTGACTACGTTTGCTCCGATCCCCACTTGGCACCCGACCTTGGCTCAAACTGGTTATTCTGTGATCCTCTGTTCTCTGGAAGACCTGCATACCTCGCACAGGTGCCCCCTGCCTGCAGATCCCATTTCAGCGCATCAGCCGTGTTCCTGGGTGGACCACCAAACAAACACTCCCACAGCTGACCTGTGCTACTCTGGGCCTGACTCCTGCTGTCCCACCTTCAGGGGAGTCTGGAACTTAGCCGCAAGGGAAGCCCTCTCTCCATTGTCCTCTGTCACCAGGTACGTGACAGTAATGCAAAATTATCATGGGGCCCCCAATGCACCTGGGGTCCCTGGGCAGTGCCCATTCATTGAGACAGCCCTGCTTGGACAGCATGCCCAGCCTCCTGCCAGGGGATTGGCCAGGGTCCCTCAAACATGCAGATCTGGGCTTCCCCCCTCCTCCAGAAAGCTCTCAGGTTTCTGGAGAGGTGTGAGGGTTCCAGAAGCCCTGACCTGTTAGGGCCTCCCAGCCTGTCCTGAGGTGACCTCACTACCTCTCTCCCCAGGCTGACTCATCCCCAGGCTGCTCTGCAGCCTCTATCTAACAAAAATCTACCTAACTAATCTGGAGGGTGGTACATATGTTTATTTTCTATGACTTTGAATGTAATGCAGTTTATCTTTGTTTTATCATGTGAGTATTTTTTGATTTTATCAATAAATATTGTAGTGAGCACTATGCCAGTCTTTATTGTCTTTTCAGCATCAGTCTGCACTGATCCACCTTCCTACACCTGAGCTGATGATGATTGCTGGAGCCTTGCAAAGGATAGCAGGATCCTGAGGAAAGTCCAGCTGGTTATATGCAGATCTGACTGATCACATGGAGGTTCGATTTGACATTTGCTATGAAGGCATTATGTTGAGGTATTATGTTGAGGTAACAGGTAAGGGATTTCAGTGGAGGTTTTAACTTTCATATTTCTTCTTTGTGCGTGTGTATATATATATATATATATATATATATATATATATGGACCAATATACGGATTTGCATGTAGAAATTTTTTACTAGTTATTATTTCAATTGTGGATTGTATGTATTGAATACACTACGGTGATTTATTTATATTGAGCAGCCTTGTGGCTTCACAGCCAGTTTCCTATTGCACATGTGCGTAGTGAAAGTTCGGCCCCTCTCTTTCCCCCGTAGCCTTCTGGGACACTTCCCGGTTCTGGCTCAGATCGGTGTAGGGCATCTGACTGGAAGTGGGAGAGGGTACCTGTCAAAACCCACTCCCCCCCAAACAGTGCCAAATGTGGCAGTGTAGGGGGGAGGATGCAAGCATATTTTACCTCTGGCACCAGCCGGCGTCCTGAAAGTGGAACTTCACCCGAAAGGGGAAGTTCTGCTTTAAGGATGTCGGCAGGTGCCAGCAGTAAAATATTACATGCTTTCACTACTAAAATACCACATCAGGTCAAGAAATAATACATGCAGTATTTTAGCAGCTTTTTTTAAGTGAATTGCAAAAAAAATTTTGAAAAACAGTATGAGTTATTTTACCGCTGAAAAGTGTTACTTTCCGCATAGTGAATTGAGCCCAGTACGCTTTAATGTATAACTAAAGGCAAAACTTTTTTTTTAGTTTTGGATAGAGTGGAGGTAAATTAGAACAGCTGGTGAGTTTTTATTACTGTTATGGATCTTTATCTGTCATGATTACCTTTATTACTAAAATTGAAAGTAAAAGAAAATCGAAAATTTTGGGTTATCCCCAAAACAGTAATAGAGGGGAAATCTTCCAATGGGAATGCTAGTTCTGGTGACAACCAGGAATTCCCTCCCTTTGAACAGATTTCCTCTCACTTTCTATTCTGGCTATGGGGCAGGAAGTAAAGGGAAATCTCCCCAATGGGAAACAGATGACAAAAATAAAACTGACAGCGGTTATAACCCTTTACATTTACTTTAAATGTTTTTCCTTTGTTCTACTTTATTACAAACATATTTATCATTAGCAGCATTTTGATGCTGGGTTTCTCTGCAGTTTATGCCTGTTGAGGCCTGTTGAGGTTAGTGGGTTCATCAAGCATTAGCAAAACATCCTGCATTTTCTGCCATAGCTAACGACAAAATAATCTGTCAATTAGCACTTAGCAAATGTTGCCTGTCCATACACAGTATATGTGCTGAGACACATTGGGACTCCATAATGATCGATGAAAAAGGTTTTCTAATTTTGTTTTTCAAGGTGTTATTAATTATCATGGTTTAAAGGGTAAGTGCACATTTACTAAATATCCAGGATCCCTGGCAATAATATATAGGGGCTAAATTCCACAGGCATTAAAAGATATTAGGAGTTAATTATTGTTGTGGTCTTTCACATATTTATACATTTTTAAGGGTATTCATACTCTCTATGTTGGCTGGTGTTTAAGGGGGTGTGGGTGGGTGGATGGGTGCAGTCCCATGACTCCCCTGAGGAAAAATGTCAGTGTGACTACTCATTGCAAATGGTCAGACGATGAAGTTCACCCTATTGTGGCCAAAAACTGCAACTTAGACTCCATGCCGCCACCCTATTAGCATCCTTCAAAATCCACGTTTCAGGCCTTAGGTCTTAGAGAAATGGCTATCTCTGTGCCCAGCCTTGCATTTTTAATGGATTAAAACTATTACTTTTTATGGCCAGGCTCATTCACATAACTTTATTTTGTTGGATGGGGGAACATATACTGGACATTAAGTTAAAGGTATTATTAATTATTACTATACAGGATTTATATAATGCCAACAGTTTGTTCAGCACTTTATAATATAAAGCAGCGGTTCTCAACCTGGGGGTCGCGACCCCTTTGGGGGTCGAACGACACTTTCCCAGGGGTCGCCTAAGACCATCGGAAAACACATATTTCCGATGGACCTTAGGAACCGAGACACCGCTCCTCTATCCGACTCCAGGTGTGGGCGGGATACATGCAGTCCCTGTCATCTGGACACACCCCCGGGATCAATCCTCGTCGGTGATTGGCCGCCGGAACTGTAGCTCAGGAGATGCACACAGGCAGCCAATCACCGGCGAGGAGGTGGAGCTTGGAAAGGAGGAGCCGAGCGGCACCGCGAAGATAGAGCGAGTGAAGAGGAGGAGAGCGGCCGGAGAAGGAAGACATCTGACCGGTAAGTGTCTGTACCATGGGAGAGTGTCACTAATACCAATGATGGGGCACTATTCCTCCCCCCACTGACACCAACGATGGGGCACTATTCCTCCCCCCACTGACACCAACGATGGGGCACTATTCCTCCCCCCACTGACACCAACGATGGGGCACTATTCCTCCCACTGACACCAACGATGGGGCACTATTCCTCCCACTGATACCAACGATGGGGCACTATTCCTCCCACTGACACCAATGTTGGGGCACTATTGCTCCCTCTGATACCAACGATGGGGCACTATTCCTCCCACTGACACCAACGATGGGGCACTATTCCTCCACTGACACCAACGATGGGGCACTATTCCTCCCACTGACACCAACGATGGGGCACTATTCCTCCCACTGACACCAACGGATGGGGCACTATTCCTCCCCCACTGACACCAATTGATGGGGCACTATTCCTCCCACTGACACCAATGTTGGGGCACTATTCCTCCCACTGATACCAATGATGGGGGCACTATTCCTCCCACTGACACCAATGTTGGGGCACTATTGCTCCCCCCTCATACCAATGATGGGGCACTATTCCTCCACTGACACCAATGATGGGGGCACTATTCCTGCCTCACTGATACCAATGATGGGGCACTATTCCTCCACTGACACCAATGATGGGGGCACTTTTCCTCCCACTGATACCAATGATGGGGCACTATTCCTCCCACTGACACCAGTGTTGGGGCACTATTCCTCCCACTGATACCAGTGATGGGGACACTATTCCTCCCACTGACACCAGTGATGGGACACTATTCCTCCCACTGACACCAGTGATGGGGCACTATTCCTCCCACTGATACCAATGATGGGGCACTATTTTCCCCCCAATGACACCAATGATGGGGCACTATTCCCCCCACTGACACCAATGATGGGGCACTATTCCCCCCACTGACACCAATGTTGGGGGCACTATTCCCCCACTGACACCAATGATGGGGCACTATTCCCCCCACTGACACCTATGATGGGGCACTATTCCTCCCACTGACACCAATGATGGGGCACTATTCCTCCCCCCACTGACACCAACGATGGGGCACTATTCCTCCCACTGATACCAACGATGGGGCACTATTCCTCCCACTGACACCAACGATGGGCACTATTCCTCCCACTGACACCAACGATGGGGCACTATTCCTCCCACTGACACCAACGATGGGGCACTATTCCTCCCACTGACACCAACGATGGGGCACTATTCCTCCCACTGACACCAACGATGGGGCACTATTCCTCCCACTGACACCAACGATGGGGCACTATTCCTCCCACTGACACCAACGATGGGGCACTATTCCTCCCCTGATACCAATGATGGGGCACTATTCCTCCCACTGACACCAATGATGGGGCACTATTCCTCCACTGATACCAATGATGGGGCACTATTCCTCCCACTGACACCAATGATGGGGCACTATTCCCCCACTGACACCAATGATGGGGCACTATTCCCCCCACTGACACCTATGATGGGGCACTATTCCTCCCACTGACACCAATGATGGGGCACTATTCCTCCCCCACTGACACCAACGATGGGGCACTACTTTCCTCCACTGACACCACTGCACTACCTCCCATGATACCAAACGATGGGGCACTATTCCTCCCACTGACACCAACGATGGGACACTATTTCCTCCCACTGACACCAACGATGGGGCACTATTCCTCCCACTGACACCAACGATGGGGCACTATTCCTCCCACTGACACCAACGATGGGGCACTATTCCTCCCACTGACACCAACGATGGGGCACTATTACTTCCCACTGACACCAACGATGGGGCACTATTCCTCCCACTGACACCAATGATGGGGCACTATTCCTCCCCCTGATACCAATGATGGGGCACTATTCCTCCCACTGACACCCAATGATGGGGACACTATTCCTCCCACTGATACCAATGATGGGGCACTATTCCTCCCACTGACCACCAATGATGGGGCACTATTCCTCCCACTGATACCAATGATGGGGCACTATTCCTCTCACTGATACCAGTGTTGGGGCACTATTCCTTCCACTGACACCAGTGATGGGGCACTATTCCTCCCACTGACACCAATGATGGGGCACTATTCCTCCCACTGACACCAATGATGGGGCACTATTCCCCCACTGACACCAATGATGGGGCACTATTCCCCCCACTGACACCAATGATGGGGCACTATTCCCCCACTGACACCAATGATGGGGCACTATTCCCCCCACTGACACCTATGATGGGGCACTATTCCTCCCACTGACACCATGATGGGGCACTATTCCTCCCACTGACACCTATGATGGGGCACTATTCTCCCACTGACACCAATGATAGGGCACTATTCCTCCCACTGACACCAATGATGGGGCACTATTCCTTTCCCACTGACACCAATGATGATGGGGCATATTCCTCCCACTGACCAATGATGGGGCACTATTCCCCCCATGATACCAATGATGGGGCACTATTCCTCCCACTGACACCAATGACGTGGCACTACTCCTCCACTGCTGAAAATTACTGTTTTGAAGTAGCAAACGTAAAAATAATTTTATGGTTGGGGGTCACCACAACATGAGGAACTGTATTAAGGGGTCGTGGCATTAGGAAGGTTGAGAACCACTGATATAAAGGGAGATAGTACAGTTACAATACACATAGGAATAAGAGGGCCCCTGCTCCATAAGAGCTTACAATCTAATGGGGTGGGGAGTGGTACAAAGGGGTTATAACTGTGGGGGATGAGCTGATGGAAGTGATAAATGTATAATTGTAGGCGTGATAGGCTTCCCTGAATGGATGAACATTTTCAGAGATCACCTAACAGGCAGACCAAAGTAGGGGATAGCCGGACAGATTGAGCTAGAGAATTCCAGAGGATGGGAGAGGCACTGGCAAAGTCCTGGAAACGAGCATGGGAGGATGGAGACAAGGGAGCTATAGAGCAGGAGATCATGAGAGGGACAGATTGAGTGATATTTGGAGGACATGATTGGTGATGTAACTCGGGCCAGAGTTGTGAATAGCTTTGTATGCTGTTGTTAGTATTTGAATTTTATTCGCTGGGAAAATAGGACGCAGTGGTGCCAGGTACAACATACCATAACCCATCCGCAAATGCTGTACCTCTATCCTTTAAGTATAGTTAATATAATTATTTCAATACTGAAAGCCAATATAAACAAAGTAAGTGCAAATCCAAAACAATCTCAGTAAAAGCTTAAGTCCACCACACTGATTGTGAAATATATTACATAAAGTCAGATAACATTTCATAATGTGTAATAATTACTTCTTGTGACTGCTTAAATTGGTCATTCTATGCATGAAGGTAATGCCTTCTGTGTGCAGCAACTCCCCAGGCCCCTCAATAGTACCTGAGCCTCATCACGATCCAGCGATGTGAATGACTGCCCTTGAATGCCACAGGTCTCTGACTCCTCATTGGCTTGAGACAGCAAGGTCCCACTGCTGATCCAATCGATGACACAGTCAGCCAATGAGGAGAGAGAGGGGGTGGGGCCACAAGCTGTGGCTCCGTGTGTCTGAAAAGACACACGGAACAGTGTGGGTGCCCCCCATAGCAAGCTCGGCTTGCTTTGGGGGCACCCAACAGTAAAGGAAAAAGCCAGGAGAGCCTGTGGGGGATCTAAGAATGAGGATAGAATCAGGCTGCTCTGTGCAAAACCTCTACACATAGTAGGTAAGTATAGCATGTTTGTTATTTTCACAAAAAAACCTTTAGATCGCTTTAAATTCTTCAACACCCAAAGAATCTATCTCAGGAAACTAAAAAAAAATACAACTCCTTCACCACCATTTAAAGTACGCCTTTTACCGAATCGGAAAGCCCCTGATTATGGAGCTCGTTTGTTATTAAGCAAATGGTAGACCGCAAAGGGAATTCACTAACCTAAACAGTCCCAGGTTATTCAAACTTCCAGAATGCTCTTGTTAATGATCTGAAAATCATGTGAAGTCTACCTTGAACCCCCCCCCCTTGCTCGCCACATTGCAAGTTTATCTTAAGGGTTATATAATAGAAAATGGTTGGAAATCGATCCGGATCAGTTTAATCCCCTGAGTCAGCCAGGAGAGTTTCAGGAATGAGCACAGACCTAAAATGATTGCCTGCTTCAAAGTTAACCAGGCAACTTGGGCAGAGATCTTTTTACATCTGTAGGTACCCTAATAGTACAAGTCATAACACAACCAGTTTCAGAAAGGAAAGCACTGCAATAAGAAACTAAGCAGTGTGATGAAGAGGACAAATATTTCTTTAGAGTCAGATGTCAATAGGGGGGCAGCAGTTTAGTATTCTCTTACGGTAAACCAATTTCTATTTATTTGCATGAGCAAACTAGAGCATAGGTGAGGCTGTTATTTAATGATAACTGAGCAGCAGTTTACTTAAGTAATACACTTCCCAGATTACTCGTGGTCCATGCCTTACAAAGGTCTGCAATTTTTAATTCTGCTCTGTTGGACAATAATGACATCACAGTCACTCCAATTTTTCTTCAGTTCTTATCAACCACTTACACGGTGTAACCTTGGCTGTCAGGAATGTAAACAAGGAATTACCAATGTTTGAAATACATACAATACCACCCTCTGCTGTCCTCTTGAACATGAATTGCATGTACTAAAGAACGGAATTTTTTTAGCCTTTTACAGTTCTTACAAATATCGAGGACTGTTTGATCCATGATTTTTTTTCAAATACACATGACACATAAAAAATAGAAATGTATTAACTTTATATTTCAGCGATTCATATGAAGCATAAAGACCCAGCTTCTCATCTGTGTTGCATTGCTTTTTTCTATATTATAAAAAATAAAAATGTCAACACAATATGGGCAGCACAGTGGCTAAATGGTTAGCACTTCTGTCCCTAGCAGTTATTAGGGTTGTTGGTTCAAATCCTAACCTCGGCACCACCTGCCTGGGAGTTTGCATGTTCTCCTGTGCCTGCGTGGGTTTCCTCCAGGTACTCTGGTTCCTCCACACACTCCAAAGACATGCTGGTAGATTAACTGGCTGCTGTCTAAATTGGCCGTGGTAGTATGTATGAATATAAAGTTAGGGCCTTAGATTGTACAAACCTCCCTTGAGGGTTAGGGACTGATGTGAACGTTATAATTATATATGTAAAGCGCTGCGTAAATTGACGGCGTTATATAAGTACCTGAAATAAATAAAATAATAAACACCCAGCCTTTCTGCTACCAGAATCAAACTTCTTCTGACCTCAATGGACCTGACCTGAACAAGTAGCAATTTGCGCAGTAAAGAATTTGCCAGAGACAAAGTAATGCCGGTAGGCGGGTAGAAAAAGAAGAAAAGAAGTAGCGCAGGGCAGGCATGACTACGGCCTAGAGTGGGGAAGGAAGACTAGAAAGGGGTTAAGTCAGTGCCAGGGGTATGAAAGTATATAGGTGGGAGCTGGGTTGGTAGAGGGGAGAACGTGGGTGGTACTCTTTGGCACCTTTGGGTGGGGGTGTCCTGGGCGGGGGGGCAGTCAGTCGGAGCTGGACGTTGGTGATTGAGCTTCAGCTTACAAAACCCGCCGTAAACAATGTAACCTGACCTGAACAAGTAGCATTTGCGCAGTAAAGAATTTTCCAGAGACCAATGTTCCCACTAACTTATTATACTTCTACAACCAATACTCTGAGGCTTGTCTGGACAGCAGAAACGAATGAAGCATACAAATAGACTAAATAGAAGTCACATACAAGGTGACAGGGAGTAAAAAAGACCAAGTGGTCCACTGAGTTTGTCCCATTTGTTAGCTTTTTTGTCAGAGTATAGATATGGGCCTAAAACCTGTAGGTAAAAAGAGAACCAGAACCTTCACTAAGTGGAAGAGTGGGTTTGATAAAAAAGTTGGTAGTGCCTTCACCCAGGTCAGACTTCTCTGTGAACAGAGGGGATTCCCTTCCTGGGGAATTAATCTGTAATCTAAACAAAATAATTGCGAGCAAACGAACTACTGCAATCAGCATATAACACTGACCATAAGCATAAAGATGCACACCAGTATAGAAATAATACAAGCTTTAATAGAAGAAGAAGATTAATAACAGTCCATACATCCAATGTACAAACAGGTTTTATCAGCAAAGGGCTCGGCAGGAGTCCTGGGTTGGAATTGTTCACATATACCCGAGTACTGTATACAGTTATATAGTTAGCAATAGAGATACCTTCAGATTAAGGTTGCAGCAAAGTCCAGTTGCAGGGGCCCCTGAGGAATAATGAAATGTCTGCCTTTGTGTTGGAGACCTGAGACAAGATCTATGATCATGTGGAGATCCTCCAACTGTTGATCAACCAGCCTGGAATTGAACTTTTCACCATCAGGAACGGTGGTGTGTGACATGGAGCTCAGTGCTGCATTTTAGTCCTTCCCTAATAGTTTCTAATCTGACATGCAAGCAGACCTCTAAGTCTATGATCCTTACGAGGCCATTGGAAGCCTAACCTGGCTCTAGCCTATGCTGGTTATTGAACCCTAAACTAAAACTAGCTATAGAATCCCAAACCTGCAAATAATCTATATTGCAATAAACAGCTTCAACTACCTATTTACTGGAAGGTGATGACTAATAGTAACCAGTCGGTGTCTAGGTTTTATTGTCACAGCTTAATTGAACAAGTATAAAAAAAAAAAAAATAAAAAAATAAAATTAGTTTAAAAAAAAAAATTAAAATTTTTAAACATTTTATTTTACATTTTTATTTTATTTTTTTTTATATTATTTATGTTTTTTTTTTTTACATACTGTCACCGTAGCAGTACATTGTCACCATGGTGACAGTGTACTACTTGTGGGGGGTGATGAAGATT